AGCGTGGGAAGCGATCGCCGAGGTATATCGGGCCCTTTGAGGTACTTGAAAGGATTGGCATAGTCACTTACTAATTGGTGTTACCACCAAATTTATCAGATGCTCACATGGTGTTCTATGTCTCCATACTCTGAAAGTACACTCTAGATCCTACACATGTGATGGATTGGGGTGAGTTGATTGTTGATGTAGATAGGACCTTCGATGAGGGACCAGAGCATATCGTGGATAGCCGAGCATAGATTTTGTGAAGAAAAAATGTGAGACTGGTGAAGGTGATGTGGTAGCACCATGGTATGGAGGAGGTGACATGGGAGTGTGAGAATACTATTCGTGCTACCAATCCATTCTTGTTCGAGGATGGAGGTACATTCTTATAGTCATATAATATTATATGGATTATTGCATATGCATGTTGTTGTATGTGCATGTGTGTCTAAATTTTGGGTACAAAATTTTTTAATGAGGCCCAGAAGATTTAAAATTTTATTTAAAAAGGACAAAATGATAATTCGCCATTATGATACGGATTAAAAAATTAATTTTTTCTAGAAATTAGATGAATAAACAAACCTTACCGTTGGATTCGTCTCAAGAAATCTAGCTATCCAATTAATTTTAGTCAAATTTTGAGATAGTTGGATTTTTTACATTTTACGAGGCAATTGGACCTCACGTGACTAAAATAAATGCGATCAAATTTTAGTTGCAAAACTCGAGAAATAACTTAAATTTAATTCAATAAAAATGTACTAAACTTAAATCAAAATGAAATTTAATTGATTCAGAATGAAATTGGATCATAAAAGACAAGACATGTGGCTTAATGAGAACCAAGCAAATAAGGGAGAAAAATCAAAATTTTTCCCCATTTACGCCAACCATTCCTGGATAGAGAGAGAGAGAAATAAGAGAGAGAAAACTTAAGCCTCCTTTATTTCTCCTTCTGATCTACGATAATCCGATCGTCGGATCCCTTTAGGCCAAAAACAAAAGGTGTTCTACACGATGAGAGCTATGAGTAAGTACCAAAGATCGCGGGTTTCACTAAAATATCAAAGCTAGGATTGTTGGGATCAAAGCTTTGAAGCTTGATTTGGGATCTTCGAGACTTCTCCTACACGGTATTACGCTACAAGAGTTAGGATTCCTTTCCAAACTAGGTTTATTTTTAACTAGGGTAGAAATTTGAAATGGGTAGGGTGTTAGAGATGAAATCTCATGTATAANTAGGATTGTTGGGATCAAAGCTTTGAAGCTTGATTTGGGATCTTCGAGACTTCTCCTACACAGTATTACGCTACAAGAGTTAGGATTCCTTTCCAAACTAGGTTTATTTCTAACTAGGGTAGAAATTTGAAATGGGTAGGGTGTTAGAGATGAAATCTCATGTATAACACATACCTAGGTTTGTAGGAATATGGAAATGGGTATAGTAAAATGCTAAAACCAATTCTTGTATGAATGGGGTTGATGAAATTGCTTGATTTGAAATTTTGTAAGGAATTGTATTGATTTGGGCATGATATGTGTTTACATAATATTTGTGCTTTATAGGTATTTGATAAAATGCCTATGAATGATTAAGTGTGTTACCTGAATGAAAATGATGTAACATGCTTGGGATTGATGTTATTAAATGTAAATATATGCCTTATAATATAATTGACATTGAGGAATTGGAAATATATAGAGAATGGAATATGTTCATATTATGCTAATGGTATAATGAACATGCTACTGTAATTGCAATTGAAAACTTGATTGCATATTGATATGAATGCAATTGTTCATTACATTTGCATATGCATGGGTAGTATCGCATTCATGGACAGTCAACATGAGCGTGGATGTGTGTGCATTGTTTGATGAAACACCATTCTTGGTGGGTTGATACATGGGTTCAAGAAGGTTGGACCTAGGTTCGATTAAGTCGCATGGGTTTCATTGAAAATTAGGGTCGGGGTTAGCAAGAAGGGCTAGATTCTCCCTCAGGTGCAAGACCCGATTATTTTGGATACACACTTCCATTGGTTGGATACCCATTGGTGGAAGTCCATAAATACAAAACCAAAGAAAGACCCGAGATTTATAAATGGTCATTAGATATGTAACATCAATGGCGGGGGCTAGAAATGCATAGGTGCAAATGCTTGACATTGCATGTGTTATAGGAGCCGATGGAGGGCTTAGGTTGTATTACATGTGTAAACTTCACCTCATGACATGGCATGGTATTGTGGTATTCATTATCAACTGTATATTCTTGAATAGATGGTTGATTGATGAATTGTATGTGAACATTTCATATACTCCTAGATTGGGAAACAACCTCCTTAGGAGATACCCTATTGAGCTTGGCTCATCCTTTATGGGGACATATTTCAGGCGTGGGACAAGCACCGGTGGACGGCCCTCACTTGAGCCCTTATTGATTAAGAAGTTGGGATGTGACTTTTAAATTACAATTTGTAATCCATTATGTAATTTGTATTGGACTTGTAAAATCGTATAAAGTGTTATGTAATGAACTCTTATGGACTATCATTTGTGTAAATGAATGAATGGATGAGAATAGGAAGTGATTGTATGGATAAACTTTAAAGACTGGAAAGAATTGGGAGAAATTCGAGCCCAAGTATCGGTACCTAAGTGATTAAATATTGGTACCACACTGTCAAATGGCCTAGGTACCCGTACCTAGACTTACAAGTACCAGTACTTGGATTTCATTGGGCTTAAGTACTGGTAACCCATCACCTAGGTACCAGTACCTGGCAGTTCAAAGAAACTTGGGGAACAGAAGTTCCAGGTACTGGTACCACATTACTCAGATACCAATACCTGGCAGACAGAAGGCTCGGGTTGGGTACCAGTACCTCTTCCAAAATTTTTAAAATTTAAATATGACTTTCTCACACCTTCGAGCCTTGATCCTTCTTGTTTAATTGGTTTAATTGGTTTAAAGTTAAGGGTAAATTGATGGAGATTGGACCCTAGGATGGTCGTACAATTAATGTGTTACAGATTGGGTATTGGGTAGAGCTTTGTGCAAGGGAGACTCTTTCGGACTTTCGTTTTGGTTATGATCCCAGTTAAGGGGACGTAACGATGTAGTGTTAGGTTATATGGCATTCACGAATATTTTTGTGGGTTGATGGGTGATCAACGGGTAAATAAAGAACCCTCAAATCTTGGAGTTTTATACTAACATACTATATTCCTTCAATTAAAACAATTATAAATTATGTACTATTTANGATGTAGTGTTAGGTTATATGGCATTCACGAATATTTTTGTGGGTTGATGGGTGATCAACGGGTAAATAAAGAACCCTCAGATCTTGGAGTGTTATACTAACATACTATATTCCTTCAATTAAAACAATTATAAATTATGTACTATTTAGATATGCTTCTAATCAAGATTAGCATGAGCTCTATGAGTTTTACAAATGAGAAATTTTCAATTAAGCATAAATACTTTCATAATTCAAGTGCAATTGTTCTTTGTCATTTATTTATACCTCACATTTTGAATTTGACCTCATTGGGCTCTTTTCATACATTTGGCCTTCGACATCTTTTAAGGGATTAGGGTTTAACTAACTTTTAGTCATGTGTTCACCTATCACCAATGCTTTGAGTAAATTAAAACCATAAATAACTTAAACCAATTAGACTCCTAAGTATGTAGGTGAATGATTACGTGTACCTGAATTATGAATTTTTCAAAGGTAAACACTATCCAAGCACACTAGAATGAAAGAGACTTTAGCTAATGAATCATGCACTAAGATTTATGCCACTAAGTTCTCAATCTCCTAATATGACTTATAACAATGCACATTTCAACTTTGATTTAAAAATGGAATCATTACAATGAAAATCATTGCCTTGAACATGAACAAAGAAAAAACAAATAAAAAAAATCTTTTTTGCTTTTTCTTTTCCAATGTTTTTGAGCTTTTCAAATTAACATGTATACGAAAAATATGCATAAGCATGCATTACAACAAAGGAAAGACAACTAAAGCAATTAATTTAAATTCTAAAAATGAATGTCAAAATTGACTTCGAAACTCTTTTTGGATTTTTCAATTTCTTTTGTTTTTGGATTTATCAAGTTTCTATTATTTTTGAATTTTTATAGAGAAAACAAATAACAAAATAATTTATAAGGTGTTCGATGGAATGCATTAAAGATCACCTAAGTTTATACTCTCACATCTCCTATTTCTTTGAAGCCATGAACTTACTAGATGTACTTGGGGCCTCCAACTTGGTTGAAATTGTGAGTNCAAATAACAAAATAATTTATAAGGTGTTCGATGGAATGCATTAAAAATCACCTAAGTTTATACTCTCACATCTCCTATTTCTTAGAAGCCATGAACTTACTAGATGTACTTGGGGCCTCCAACTTGGTTGAAATTGTGAGTTTCTCAAGGTCCTTTCTAGACACCCATACTTATTTTTCCTTCCTAAAACTCAAGTGAGGTCTGGGAATGGGTGGAGGACTAACTCTCTTCTCCCTAAAGGTATGTAGATCAATTTTGACTTTAGGAGTTTTGGGCACTCTAGCATGTGGTCTATGTGAAGATGATACATGCATATGCTTGGACTTGCAAAACCTCTCCAAANAAGTGAGGTCTGGGAATGGGTGGAGGACTAACTCTCTTCTCCCTAGAGGTATGTAGATCAATTTTGACTTTAGGAGTTTTGGGCACTCTAGCCTGTGGTCTATGTGAAGATGATACATGCATATGCTTGGACTTGCAAAACCTCTCCAAAAGCTTAGAAAAATTTGAGAGTTGATGATTTAAAGCTTTGGATTGGTTAGCTAGATGGTCGAGCTTTTTATTTAAGATGTCTCTATTTTTCATGCAATGTGTACTTTGATCACCATGTTCTCCACATTCTTCTTTGAGTGCCTATCTTTACCATATTTAATCTTTTTAGGACTTGTGTTTTCTTGTGGGGTGATGAGTTGGTATTACCCTTCACAAACACAATATTGGAAAAAGTGTTGGTGTGTTCATTTGTGTAGACTAAACCACACTTATCATCCATAGTCTTTCCCATAGATAACATTCTATCAAACTTTTCATTACTTTGGGAAAGTCTATTAGAGAGTTCATTTGATTCATGATGATCTTTATCAAGTTTGACACATTTTAACTCAAGATTCTTTTTTGACTTTATAAGCCCATGGCACTCTTTCTGAAGGAAGCTCACTCGATTGTGGAGAGACTTGTTCTTTTCCTCTAGCCCACATAGTTGAGCTTCGGACTTAACCAAGTCCACATGTAGTGCTTTCTTTTCATCCTCACTTATTTTAGCCTTGTAATCAAGGAAAGCAACTTTTCACCTTATTTTAGACACTCCTTACATAATTCATTATAAGCATCTTAGAGGTCCTCAACACTCTCAGTATCATCCTCACTAGTAGAGAAAAGCATAGATCAGGTATCATGTCATAGCCAAGTGCTTCAACAAAAATTACCAAGTATGCAAATGCAAAACATACATGACCTCTTGTCAGCATTTTTTACTCTTGAAGGTATATGCATAGCTTGTACCATATGAAGCCTCTTGTAAGAGCAACAATTACACATTTCTGCTAGTTTTGGCTTCTCTCATGTCTCTAAAGTTGCCCTCTCTGTTTCAGTCTGAAAAGAAAAACATTCAAGCTAGGAGAAGCATGCTTGTCATCTAATTAAAGGACAATGACAACCAAATTTCAAGTTGAGCTATGTGCACCCTTGAAGTCCTCATGCTTGGAAGTAATGAATGGGGATTTGCTAAAGCCAAGCATTTCCCTATGCTTTACGCACTATGATTAACCCTAAACAATATGTTAGTGAATTAGGTTTTAAAGTTAAATGTGTGTGTGAATTAGGTTAAAATAAGTTAGTTATGGAAAATTAGGGTTAATACGAAAATTGGATGTTTTGCAGGGTTTTGTGCGAAAATACAGAAATTCAGGAGGGATAAAGTGCACAAACTAAATAAGGAAGGGGAGGCNAAGTTATGGAAAATTAGGGTTAATACGAAAATTGGATGTTTTGCAGGGTTTTGTGTGAAAATACAGAAATTCAGGAGGGATAAAGTGCACAAACTAAATAAGGAAGGGGAGGCAAGTGTAATTATCACTTTAATACATCAAAGCAAGGAGGCATCCTAGAATGCAAAACCAAAGAAAAGCCAAAGTCCGAACGGTNGCAAGTGTAATTATCACTTTAATACATCAAAGCAAGGAGGCATCCTAGAATGCAAAACCAAAGAAAAGCCAAAGTCCGAACGGTGGTGGTCGTATCTAGACAGTCCTAAACAGCCTTAGTTCTCTCTCCTTACCTCATTGGCCTAATCATGCAATAAAACCATCCTACTGGTCAGCCAAGAGCCTGCCACCTTAAAGTCTTCTACCATCGCCTATAAAGAGGCTACTTCAGCCATTTTTCAGGGGATTTTCCTAGAGTTCAATCCAGACAGTGNCCTACTGGTCAGCCAAGAGCCTGCCACCTTAAAGTCTTCTACCATCGCCTATAAAAAGGCTACTTCAGCCATTTTTCAGGGGATTTTCCTAGAGTTCAATCCAAACAGTGAGGAAGAGATAAAAAAAAGAGAAAGAAGGAGCGAGGCCCTGTCAGAATCACTTCCAAAGCAAGAAATTCTCTAATTCTACATATTTNAGGAAGAGATAAAAAAAAGAGAAAGAAGGAGCGAGGCCCTGTCAGAATCACTTCCAAAGCAAGAAATTCTCTAATTCTACATATTTGTTATCCTTTCTACTTGGAGGGTTGAATCTCTCCCACTTTTGTGCCTTATCCCATTATAAGAGTGTCAGTGTTTCAGCAATTCGTCAAGAAATGATTTGTTTTGTATTTTGTTTTGATTGTAATGAGATTATTTCATTCCTCTTGCTCGTCTATAGCAATGAGGCATAAGTAGTCCATTTATACTCTTCAGTGAAGGGTGAATACATGTGTAATATTATTTATGTTATGGAAATGCCGATGTTTTACTTATACTTTAATGTTTATACTTCTCTTAATTAATGAATGGTTATATTTATAATATGCTCATGGTTATGAACACCGAGCGATACTTAATGTTATATATCATACTATCTAAACTTATTATATACTTTCATGCATGATACAGTGATGTACATAGTTGGACTTTATGTAACAGTCGGGAGATTGGTTATAGACGAGTTAAATCTTGACATAGTCAATACTTTTGATTCAATGCATAATCTGGAACTCCATCATCACTGAATCATCAACCTACCAAATGAATAACTGTAATTAACCTTCTGAATGGTTCACCTTCTGGTTTACTAGGGTTATTTGATTGATGCATGGCATAAAGACCTCCCGGCTAATCTAATCAGTTGTTGTGTTATGTTTCAATATACATCAAACCTACCGATTAACTTTTCAGTAAAATGGGAGTTAATTTTTGTAAGGTGGCATTTCCAATAACTAAACAATATCATGCATGTGGGATCTCTGAACTGAAGAGTACCCTTTTTATTATTGTCTTTCAAAGTTTTAATTAAGTATTTATTTGGATTTGGTTATTCTAAGCGCACACTACAAGCTATTTCATTGCACTTTGTATCCACAACAATTTCATCATTACTATTTTGAATCATAACAGTTAGCTCCATGTGGATTCGATCTCGGACTTAAACGGAGAAATACTATAATTTAACCACTTATACTTGGGTGTATGACATAAATCAGGTCAGATCACACTGCAATACAACCTATATTCATTGTAACTCCATTCATCCAACAAAGCAGCTCCAAATGATTTCACTAAAAGCCCATACATGCGAGCACAAGCAAAGACCTCATATTGTGTAAAACCCTGAGAAAAATTAGAATCTTAATTAAAGGAATGAAACAGTAATTAGTTTTTAAAACACAGATCAAAACATGAATTCTTATATAATTCAAATAACGAAACGGTCATCACCGTTGGATTCGTCTCACGAAATATACTACTCTATCAATTTTTTGTGAAATTCTGAGACAGTAGAATTTTTCACATGTTACGAAGAGATCGAATGTCGCACAACTAAAACAATTGCGATCAAATTTTATTCGTGAGACCCAAAAAATAAATTAAAGTTAGTTCAATAAAAATATATTAAACTTAATATGGGACGGAATTTAATTGATTCAAAATAAAAATTGGACCCGTTAAAAAAAAAAAAAAACAAGACGTGTGGCATGACATGGGCCACACATTTAAACCAAATAAAGTGAAATATATTTTGGTCTTCCACTTTATTCTTCTCCAACAGCTTGCCAAAAGAGAGGAAAAAGAGAGGAAAAGAAAAGAAAAAGGAAAAAAAATTATTTTCTTGATCTTCTTCCTTAGATCTACAAAGGTCAAATTGTTTCATCACTTCAGGCCAAGACTTAAGTTGATCTACGCAACAAGAGCAACACAAACATAGCAAAGATCGCACTTTTCTCCAAAATTATCAAAAACAAGAATCTAGGACTAAGGCTTGGGAAACTGAATTCGGACTTTCTTTAGAGTTTTACTACGTGGGCTCACGCTATGAAATGTAGGGTTTCCCCTATTTAGATATAATTTCAACCAAAAAGATGACATATGAAATGGGTAGGCTGGGGGTGTATGTCACATGTTAAGTCTTGACTAGTGTAACTAATTGGTCAAATATATGATTTACAATTAACCATGTAATTAGTAAAATTCTATTATAATTAACTTGGTGTAAGTTAATGTTAGTGGTTTAAAGCATGTTAATTGTACATTAGCATGACTTAATGTTTTAATGGCATATCAAATTTAATAAAATTATTAGCTTGTTATGTGATTATGAAATAATATGTATGGTAAATGATTATTTAGCATATGATTAGTGTGGTGGACTTGTGCTTATATTTATAGAATTAATAATTATGTTGCCATGTTGGAAGTAATGAGCATGCTAGTTATGTAAATTGATGTGCTCTCTAGGTGTTTGTTTAAATACCGAGGTGAATACAAGTATGTTACTTGAGTTGATTATCTTACATAACATGTTTGAGATGATTTTGAAAATATCATTACCTTACATTCGTTATATAATTGCACATTGTATTACATTATGCATGTGTTACACTATATTCATAGGCATTGATATGGGTGGGAGTGTGTGCATAATATGAAATCAATAATCACATAGGTGTTTGGTCATGAGTTCGGGAAAGTTGCACCAAGGTCTAAATAAGTCGCACAAAAAACTAAATAGATAAATGTGTTGGGGTGTAGTAAGAAAGATTAGATTGTCCCTCGGATGCAAGACCTAGTTATTTGGTTAATATACTTTCCAGTGGTGCAATTCCAGAAAAGTGTAACGGCGAAAAGAGCCGTATGTGGGATTTCCTAAAAATCCGTTGATGGTGTGGTGTTCCATTAGTGAAATAACATAAATCATCGCCCTACAAAGACACGAAAAAATGAATTAATTAGTCATTGAGTGTACATAACACCAATGATGGGACTTGAAATGTCCGGATACATACACATAACATCGCATGTGTTGTGGAAGTCTAGGATGGGGCTTTGTGTTGATATTGCTTGCGTGAGTCTCATCTCATGTCGTGACATGATTTATGGTATTTGTTTATCATACATATATTTGAATAAATTCATAAATGATTGTTGCATGTAACATTTCATATGCATTTGTGTTAAGAAGTATTCTCTATAGGAGTTGCTCTATTGAACATTTGACTCATCCTTTATGGGAACATGTTTTAGGGTATTGCACAGGCTTTCACTAAAAGTCCTCTTATGGGTCCGCTTTGACGACAAAATCAGATTGTGGCTCTTATTTTGATGTTGTAGTCCTTTGTATATGTTTACTTTTGGCCTTGTATAATTTTTGTAAACAAAAACTTGTTTTATTTTTATGAGACTATTTTGAGACATTTATTCTTTTATAAATGAATGTACGTAGTGATGATAATTATGGTAGTAGTCGATACTACGCAATTAAGTATGGATGAATGAACTAGGTTTTGATCAATATAGTATGATTGCACATATTGTATTTTTTGTAGAACTTCCCGCACAAATGAGACTTTACTCAAATTTTATTAAGTTATGGATCTCAGTAAATGGGACATAATGGCGTGATATTGAGTTATCCAGGTATCCACATATATTTTACGAGTTTATGAGTAATTAATAGGGTAATTACGGATACCCGGATTTNTTATCCAGGTATCCACATATATTTTACGAGTTTATGAGTAATTAATAGGGTAATTACGGATACCCGGATTTTAGGTGTGTCACATATTGTTTGCATAACCATATAACAGGATCAATTTGAACTGCAATCATGATGTAACCATTTGGTTCTTGACAATATGATCGAACGCTTTACATGCAATTGAAGTGCTAAAACCCAAACAAAAGAAACGATGTTGCTGCTGATTGCATTCATCGTAAGACGAATTTTCAGATTGCATGTGCATAATGTTTATGCATACCGAAGTAGCATGTGACTTTGCCAGGGACATTCCTCGAAGATCAGTTTTGTAAAATTTAATCTGACCTAATCAAACACGTTAGGGGCAATGTGAGCACCAAGAGATTATAAGACTTCCATCAAGTACTTGTTGGCAAAGAATAGACAGAAGACTAGACAAGACAAAAGGGATAGATTCGGGGAAACCATAGAATGCACTAGGATCCTTGAATCCAGAAGAAAGCAATCAAACCATTGGAAAGAAGGGATGGAAAAGATAGGAGAGAGTAGATATTAGATAAAAAGGAGAACCTGAGGTAAGAAGAATTAGAGCAAGATGAGGAAGAGAAACAATGAACTATGAAGGAAAGATGGTACAGAGAAAGAAAGGGAGGAGGGAGACGAAGAGAGAGTCAAGCTCTATCAAAATATCTACAAAATTAACATCTCGGGGCTGCTTTTCCCATGTGGCATTTTTGGGATGCTTTTATTATTTTACAGCATCTCTAAAACCCTAGACACTNAGAAGAGAGAGTCAAGCTCTATCAAAATATCTACAAAATTAACATCTCGGGGCTGCTTTTCCCGTGTGGCATTTTTGGGATGCTTTTATTATTTTACAGCATCTCTAAAACCCTAGACACTTGCAAAAAGTAGAAAGATGAATTTAAGTTTCTGAAACTTGTTCTAGTGAATAAAATCCACACTAAAATTTAAAACATAAATGCTATACTGACTAAATTTTAGGACCAAATCAAAAGTTCAAATGATATGACAGCATATTATTTAGAGTTTTTATTGGAGCCCAAAATGCAGCAAACATATTTAATAAAGCTACACAGCACATAATAACGATCTTAGGAGAAATGTGAACTGACGCACACTAAAGGCACACCAGCAACTTGGACCACATAGTGATAGTATTCTCCTAACCCAGTGTGGCTGGNTCAAATGATATGACAGCATATTATTTAGAGTTTTTATTAGAGCCCAAAATGCAGCAAACATTTAATAAAGCTACACAGCACATAATAACGATCTTAGGAGAAATGTGAACTGACGCACACTAAATGCACACCAGCAACTTGGACCACATAGTGATAGTATTCTCCTAACCCAGTGTGGCTGGCTTCAACATAGTGTGCACATCATAATATCTCAGATACCTTGAGACCTTAAAAATGGGGGAAAAAAAAAAGCTCCTATTAACCTCTCAACCCAACAACTGGGAAAATAAAATTAAATTTCTCCAAACGAAATCAACACCGTATATAACACACATTCATCAATTAAATAAGTAATGATACCCACTCATTTTAACATCCAGACGCCGGTAGCTGGGTCGCTCATATGCAAGCCAAAGACAATAAACAAAAAGGTTTTGGCACCAACAGTGTTCTCAAATAAGAAACCATATACAACTCGTATACTAATAAACCTATCTATCAGCATCTAACATTACTAGTTCTGTTAAAAGAAAGANAAGCTCCTATTAACCTCTCAACCCAACAACTGGGAAAATAAAATTAAATTTCTCCAAACGAAGTCAACACCGTATATAACACACATTCATCAATTAAATATGTAATGATACCCACTCATTTTAACATCCAGACGCCGGTAGCTGGGTCGCTCATATGCAAGCCAAAGACAATAAACAAAAACGTTTTGGCACCAACAGAGTTCTCAAATAAGAAACCATATACAACTCATATACTAATAAACCTATCTATCAGCATCTAACATTACTAGTTCTGTTAAAAGAAAGAGCAAACTGAAACTATATTTAGGCTCCAATGAGGAGCACTAAACACACATTTAGGCTCCAACGTGTACTTCTCTACTGAGCACTATTCGAACAACATGCAAAATTGCAGATGACTACAAACATCCATTTCTGCCATTCAACCCCATTACAATCATGGCTATAACTCAGCCAAAAGTTGTCAATCCTTAAACTCATGATTATAACTCTTATGGGTTTATTTATCACATTCTCTAAGCTTCGCATGTGTACAGAGTTATGATGCTTCAGAGGAACATACACGCGAAGATAATCCCGCTAAGCGAGTCCAACAACGGGTTTCATGATGATTGATAGTACAATTACCCACAAAAAAAGCCCCAAGGGAGGACAGTCCACATGCATTGCTTGTAAAACCAAAAGCCAATACTATTTTATAAGTAATATATTATAATAAAGCAGGAAATTCAAAACAGATCAAGTTGTGCAATTCTAACACCACAAAGACAAAGACCCATCTCCAAGCTAGCTTTGTAATTGAACCCAAAGCAAGGAGAATCACATGTACATATATTCTCTGCCTAGACAACAGTGAAATTCCAAACCAAGCCCAAATAAATATGGACATGAACTAGAGACCCACAGTCCAAATGAGACACGATTAACTACTACTAAAAACAAAGCAGATGAACATTACTAAGCCCCTTGCTGTGGTGTCAGATCAAAACATGATGAGGAAGAACCATAAGAATCTGCATGTGTATGGTACGAATAAGCTGATCAGAAACCAGTTAGGTTTTAAACAAACCTAATTCCAAATAGGCATGAGTCGATCCCACAAATACAAGCATGATATTTAAATTGTCACAACTACAACACATTTGATAACCATAAATAACCAGGAAAGACAGTTATTGTGCAGCTTCTACAGACTTGGTCTCAACCGTGAGTGTTAACGGCCTGCCAGACTAAATTTTTTGGAACAGGGTTTTTGAGATCCTGAGCCAGCAATGCTGCATTCTGAAGTGTGCTAATTGTCAAGGCATTCGCCTTCCAAAATGACACGCTATTGTAGGACAACCCATGCTTCTTGCAAAGCTCCTTCACAAAGGGAGAGATTTTCCTGAGGTGGCATCGAGGTAATCTAGGAAACAGATGGTGCTCAATCTGGAATTGCAACCCACCATGAAACCAATCCATCCAAGGCGGGCACGATATATCAAGACTCCCACCAGTTTGCTTCTCAAACCAATCATTCCCACTAGGCGGTCCAACATAAACACTCGAAGAGAAATGGTTCAAACAAAATTGAACATGCTGAATTCCAGTAACCACAAAACTTGCAATGACAAACATTATTCTTTCACCCCAATTAGGAAGACAGGAAACAAGAAGCGGATACCAAGTCCAAAACACAAGCACCCCAAAAATCTCCTGAACCCGATTGGGTACTCTTCTCCTAGACAATAACAAAGTGACTGATTGCGCAAACAAATTAATTCGAGCAAAACACATCACAGGATAAAATGTCCAATGCTGGTAGCTAACCAAGAACCTAGCAGCCGAATCAAAATTCATCTTCCTGTCATAAAAACGTGATGTGAGGGAACTGAAGAATTTAGAAGATACCACAAAAAAAGGCATGTGTTGAAGATCCGGGTCAAAATCAAGGCTATTGCAAGCAATGTGGTGAGCGTTGTGGTTCCACTTCCACCATGCAATGCTGATTCCTGTAAGGCAATTCCCCGTAAGAATCTGCGCAAATCGGTTGAACCCAGGTGTCATCATGACCTCGTAATGCCCAGAATCATGCCCAATCCACCCACTTTGAATCCAAAGAAAACCCATCAATCCACCACAAACCAAATGCACCCAAATGCTATTATAACACAGGACACCATATACGCTCACAGCAAACAGCATTGCCATCAGACACATGGCCATGAATACTCCATGCCCTTTCTTTTCAAACAAACCCATGTTGGAAAACTCATAAACAAGCTTTCTGTAATCTTTGGATACCTCAGAGACGGCGAAGTCTTTGAGGTGATACCCATTGAAGAATTTGCCAAGAAACTGCCAGGCAGTGCCTGGATGGAAAGCAACAAAGGCGTCAGTAGCATCTTGACCAGAAAGACTCAATAGTGGAAGGTCACCACCGGGGTGGTTCTTGACCCAATCGGAGACATCATACACCTTGCCCTGCACGGAGATCCACAGATCCCCTGGTTTGTTGTGGTTCTTGAGCTCATCTGGGGTAATGTACTTCTTCGGTTCTGCCATGGATTCAGGAATGGCAGGAAAGAAAATGAGAAAGAGATCTGAGAGGAATCACGAGAATCAGGATCCTCTACTTTCTTTCTCTCTGTATGATTTCTCTCCCCTCTTTTGCGGTGAAGGAAGAGAATATAAAACTGGAAAGATCAGATCGTTGAGGTAGAAATTGATATGTTTTGTGCGTGGAGATATGAAAGAAGGGTTTGTGGTAAGATCGAAGAAGCGCCACAGAAAGGTTTTAAAAATGAAATTTGGCCAAGCGGGGAATAACAGAGACAGTTACAGACACAGACAAGGAGGGACAGCGCATGTGTGGGCCGCATAACAAGACGCTACGTCAAAAAGATGTTTTTCTTTGGGCAAGAGAATCTCTAACCTACCCCATAAAAGGCCAGTCTTAATTATTTTGAAGAGTCTTTTGGTGTAAATTTCTCTCCGATCTACTCTATAAAGTATTTATAATCGTGATTTAAATTTTTATTCAAATTTAAATTAGTATTTGAATAAAAAATTTGATTTGATATAAAAATTTTAATTGGCAAACTCAAATTTAAAGAAAAAGAAACTTAAATATAAATGAGGACAAACTCAAAANGCCAGTCTTAATTATTTTGAAGAGTCTTTTGGTGTAAATTTCTCTCCGATCTACTCTATAAAGTATTTATAATCGTGATTCAAATTTTTATTCAAATTTAAATTAGTATTTGAATAAAAAATTTGATTTGATATAAAAATTTTAATGGGCAAACTCAAATTTAAAGAAAAAGAAACTTAAATATAAATGAGGACAAACTCAAAATTAAATAAAAATAAAAATAATTATTGGATTTTTAAGATAGGGTAAAATCTCACCATTAAATATTTGAGTAAGGATTTGAGTCTCTCTTAATTTGAGTAAAAAAAAATCTCCTATAATAAGGGATAGAGCATGTTTTTTAGAATTTTTAACTCAAATTTAAATTTAAATCAGGGTTGGAGGTGTCCTTCCGTCACTGGCTATTTTATCAANTCTTAATTTGAGTAAAAAAAAATCTCCTATAATAAGGGATAGAGCAAGTTTTTTAGAATTTTTAACTCAAATTTAAATTTAAATCAGGGTTGGAGGTGTCCTTCCGTCACTGGCTATTTTATCAAATTTAATTTTTCACTTGCCAAAAGTGACGACCCTCTTTTCGCTCGGTATTTGTTCTTTTGCGCCAAAGTGGCTTCATCGTCTTCATCATAGAGATGGTCTTCATCGTCATTGGATGTGGCTTCATCGTCTTCACCCAAGTATGGATCTCTCTTTGCCTAAATTTGAGTTGATGGAAATCATAGTGCTCAAATATGCAAAACCCCTTCAACACTCTGGTTTTTGTCGGCTTCAAAACCCCTCGAATTGTATCAGTGATAACTTGAAATTGATTATATGGTTTCAATTTCTCAAGTGGTTTTGCTAAAAATGGAATTTGATCCAAATGATCGTTCAAAAAAATTACTCTCTTTCCCCACCTAAGTCTCTCTCTATTCAAGCATGACCCTCTCTAAATCCCTCTCTCCCCACCCCCAAATTCAGTCTCTCTTTCCCTATCTTTCCAGTTCGAATTCCAGAAGAACAACAAGAAGAAGAGATTGCTTCACGGAATTACCAATAGTGTTTGTTTTTTTTTCTGTTTTTTCAATGAACAATAATGTATCCATATCATAATATACATTTGTGCTATCAATAACGACTATTATAGCATGATGTCAACCTCATCAAAATTCAAGCTTGATTTATGATGGTGATTCTTGATTATTGCAGATAAAATCTTGAGTGATCTAGATCAAAATTTAATCTCAAAATTTGATTTCACCATTGTTAGTACGAAATTTAATCTATTTTACTTAATGTGATCTAGATCTTTTATGAATAATATGTATATATGTTTTTTGCAACTGTAGTTATAGATCTAATGTGTATATAGTTTTTGTCATAGCAATGATTTAAATTGATGTTTTGGTTTTTATCATAGCTATGGTTTAAATTGATTATATCGAGCGAATGAGGTGGCTCCATACCGAAGAATTAGGGATTAGTAAGAGGCCAAAAAAAGTGTGGTTTTAAGATAAGCTGTTAGGAATTGAACTCTTTTGATGGGGCAACTTGGAGTTAAGAAAGGTAGGAGCAATCAACCCTTATCTCATTTCTTTTTAAAGTCAAGAATGTAGGGCCAGGTAAGAAACTATACAAAATGTCATCCCTTTCTTCATTCCTTCCAAATGACGGGATAGTTGACAATAGCAATAAACGTTCACTCTCTTTGGCGGGCTGCCTCTCGAATTATGCCCTTTCCCATGCACTTTTTGGGACTACGAGAAAGAGCTCATACTTTTGGTAGCTCTTGGACGTTTGTTCACTTGCTAAAAGCTTACTGACTTTTCGAAGCCTTACCTTCACAGAAAGAGACCCTTATGCATTCGTGCTTCAATAACATGAAGCACTTCACTCACAAGGAAGAACACTAAGAGGTTTCTTCTTGAGTCATAGCTATGATTTAAACTGAGTATTTGGTTATTATGGCGCTGATGTGTTAGGATGCGTGGCATTTTTGAATTATATTATTTAAAGTTAATTAAAATTAGTCAAAGTAGTTAACTGAAATAGAGAGTGTGGTTGGAGCTCATACTTCCAGCAGCTCTTGGACGTTTGTTCACTTGCTAAAAGCTTACTAACTTTTCGAATCCCCACCTTCAAAGAAAGAGACTCTTATGCGTTTGTGCTCCAATAATGTGAAGCACTTCACTCACTAGAAAGAGAACATAAGAGGTTTCTTCTTGAGTCATACCTATGGTTTAAATTGATTATTTAGTTATTATGGTGCTGACATGTTAGGCTACGTGACATTTTCGAATTATATTATTTAAAATTAATTAATGTTAATTGAAGTATTTAACTAAAATATAGAGCGTGATTAGAGTGAACTTATAAAAATGGTTATCTAAAATAAAGAATACAATATTCAAATATATTTTAACTAGCCATTTTGTAAAGCTAAGTTGGAGTTGCTCTAAGTGATCTGTAAAACTATTTCGTCTATTAAATATTCTTCTCCATCTTATTTAATTTTTTAATTTTAAATTACTAAATTCACTGCAGTTTACATACCTCAATAGTAGTGTTTTAAAAATCGGTCTAGCCCAGTGAGTTAATTCGGAGAGCCGTCAAATTTTAAGTTAGATCGTTAAGTCATTCATCCGCCTAAGAACCACTCAAACCAGCCCAATTCGAACAGATTTTATAAAGTGAAATTTAGAACCAAGTATAATATGGAGATTTCTTTTACCAATAAATCCATGCGCAATCTTTTTGGGTTATTAAAGGCACATATTATATATATATATTTTTTTGTAACTAGGTTCAATACTATTTTTTTTTATTTCCTATTATGTTCTCTAGTACGCCTCTCTCTATCTAAACCAGTAACAAAACCAAAAAAAAAATAAGCAATATACCCTTGAGCACCAGTCTACGGTACATCCATTTTGCTGTTCGATATCATACCGAAAAACCAATGTAAGCCGTAGATGGGTCTGTCCACAAATAAGGACCATTGATCAAGTTTTAATTTTACTTTTTGAATTTCCAATAGAATAACCAGTCAGCTCTTAAACTGGTTTTAGTTTAAAAATACAAAAAGTCAAGTCTATTAGATAGTACTATTCATATAGTACAACTCTAATTTGTCATGAGTTGTACAACAAACGTGGCGAGTTAGTACAATAGTGGATGTGTATTTACAGTAAGTTCGGTAAAGTTACTACTTACTAGGGTAATGTTACCACCATTACGGGTAAATTCACCGCATTTAAAGGTTACATTATAAAGATTCTGGATAAATTTACGATATAAATTAATTAAGTTACAACTACGGTGGACAAATTTACAACAATTTTGGTTATTTTACAACAGTTAAGGTTATATTATACTACATTGGTGGTGAATTTATTACAAATGAGATAAGATTACTATTTATTAGGGTAAGTTACCACCACTGTGGGTAAAGTTACAACATTTAAAGGTCACATTATATGGAGTGAGTTAATTTATGATAGAAATGAGTTAAGTACAACCATTTTGGACTAATTTACAACTTTGGTAAAACTATAACAATTAAGGGCATATTTACTACAGTTTATGATTAAGTTACACTAACAGTGGACAAAGTTACACGAGTTTAGGCCAAAGTTACTAATGTATTCATTAAAGTTACAGCATATATAGGTAATATTACAAACTTAAAAATAAATATACACCAGTTGTGGTATCTGTGACACCCCAAAATATGTGGGTCTGTTGATTACCCATCAACCCACGGAATACCTGTGAATTTCGAGTAACTCGATATCACGCCGTTATACCCCATTTATCGGGGTCCTTAATTTAACAAAAATTTGGACAGAGTCTTCTTTGTATGTGAGCTCTACCCAAAACACAACCTGTGCAATATACATTCACTTGACCCATCCGAGTCTTAATATAACACACTGACCGCACCGGGTCCATTTATGAGTCAACATTAACTACACCGGGTCCATTTATCCATATTCATACAAAAACATGCACCGTTATATAAAACAGTCCATATAAACTGAATTACAATTCTTTTACACATTACACGCCCAAAACATAGTTTTACATAAACCAAGGTTAAAGGTCATAATCCGGCCTCTCTTCACCCTTAAGGATCCAAGTAAAGGTCATCCACCAGTGTGTATCCAGCACCTGAAATATTTTCCCGTATAGGGTGAGCCACGCCCAGTAGAGTAATTCCTACAGAGGCTACTCCCCACCTAAGTTCACATGCAACGCTCACATACAATATTTCATATTCATATCAACATTCCAAGTAAGAATATTCATTCAATGTTGGAATTTATCATGGCATACCATGAAATGAGACTCACTCACTCACTCACATCAACCCGAGCCCTTCCCAGCTTCTCAGCACATGCTAGTGACAATGTGTATGAAATCGTCATTTATGTTGCACATCAAATGACTTTTACCAATCTAGGGTTTTTGTATGGGGTGGATGTTCATGAGCTTACACCAAGGGTCTCTAACCTACTCGGAATTTATGGACTTCCACCAAGGGCTCCACGTACACTCACACACTTCATGGGCTAAGCCAAGGGAGTGCGTATCTCAATCACCAGACCTTGCACCCGAGGGATCTTCTAGTCCCTTCTTGTTAACCCCAACCCTAATTAAGATGCAACTCGTGTGACTCGGCCAGATCTTCAATCAAGCTTAATCGAGTCCACTCGTCATCCATCAAGTGTGATGTTGGCGACAACTATGCACACACCCACATGATGCAATGTTACCGTGCATATGCAATATGATGTCTCATTGCACAAAGATAACATATTCATTATGCTATGAAAGACATATGAATAATATCAACACATTTTCACATATCCCCATGCGAAAATTATATCCTAAGCATATAATACCCATAATTTTCTACAATGTCAATATAGCACTAGCATGTATTTACATTGACGATTTTCGTAAAATAATTCCAANTCATGGCAAAATTATATCCTAAGCATATAATTCTCATAATTTTCCACAATGTCAATATAGCACAAGCATGTATATACAGTGACGATTTTCATAAAATAATTCCAAGTATGTTATCACAATTTTTATGCCAATAACACACTTAATCACAAAGGCACAATTTTAGCCTAAAAATAGTCCATAAAATGGTCTAAAAATAGTTTGTACAATGGTCTAAAAATAGTCCGTAAAAGGCCTAAAAATAGTCCGTAAAATAACCCATTTGGACAGCCTACATGCAGCCCCATTTCAGCCACTAAAACAGTCTAAAAATAGTCCATTTGGACAGCCTACATGTAGCCCCATTTCAGACACTAAAATAGTCCAAAAATAGTCTGAAAATAGGCCATTTGGACAACTTACATGTAGCCTCATTTCAGCCACTAAAACAGTCCATTTGGACAACCTACATGCAGCCCCCTTTTAGCCACAAAAATAGTCCAAAAACATTCCATTTGGGGCAGCCTACATGCAGCCCCATTTCAGCTACTAAAACAGTCCAAAAATAGTTCGAAAATAGTCCATTTGGACAACCTACATGCAACCCCATTTCAGCCACTAAAACAGTCCTTATAACAACCCAAAAATAGTCCATATAATGGCCACAAAAACAGTCCGTATAACAACCCAAAAATAGTCTATATAATGGCCACAAAAACAGTCCCAAAATAGTCCGTACAACAACCCAAAAATAGTCCATATAATGGCCACAAAAACAGTCCTAAAACAATCCCTAGTAGTCCATAATTTCAGACCCTAAACCGGCCCTAGAACAGCCCCAAATGAGAGAAATAAAACCAAAGTAGGAAGGACTCTACCTCAATAGAAGTGTAGAGAACTTCTATAACACCAAAACAAGCTCAAAGCTCTTAATTTCCCAAATCTCCTCTTTTGGAGTGAAATTCCTCGTTCTTGGTACAGAGATGTAGCCCTCATCGACGTGATCAACTTTCTCTCTTGGCTCGACGGAACTCTGAGAATCGACGGAAGAAAGCTTGAAAACCCACTTTCTCTCCTCTTTCTCCCACATGTTGAAACCAGCTGATCAAAGGAGATATTTGTGTTGAAATATCTAATTTAAGTCCCTATTTATACTCCCTTAATGTGCGGTCCAAATTGCACCGCATATTTTTGACTTTTGGATCCGTTTCTCATCTCGAAACGATTCATTATATCCCGATTTAAGTTCAAATTAATTTTATTTAAAATTTTATTCAATTATAAGAAAATTTTATTTTTAGAGACCTTTGAAAAGTCATTCGTCACCCAATTGTCTCATAAAACGTGCAAAGTCTGTCTATCTCAGAATTCGATAAAAATTGACAGGGCAGCACGATTTCGCGATATGAATCCAACGGTGAGATCCGTTGTATCATCCGAGCTCTAGAAAAATATGGATTTTAAACCCGCATTATAGTGACAAATTACCATTTTGCTTTTTTTTTTTTCCAAAAAAAAGTTTAAATTTTTTCCAAGTTTTACATTCCTCCCCCCTTAAAAGAATTTCGTCCCTAAAATTCACACATACATATACATACAATCACATGCATATGCAACAGTCATTTAATATCTAATGATTATAAGAAAATACCTTCATCCTCGAATAAGAAAGGATAATTGGTACGGATGGTGTCCTCGCGCTCCCATGTCGCCTCCTCCACTGCTCGGTGCTACCACAGCACCTTCACTAGCCGCACGGTCTGGCCTCGCAAAACCTGTTCCTGGCTATCCATGATGTGCACCGGTCCCTCCTCGAAGGTCCCATCAGCACCAACAACAAGCTCTCCCCAATCTACCACATGAGTCAGATCCAGGGTGTATTTCCGGAGCATAAAGACATGGAATACTAGATGAACACCTGATAGATTTGGCGGTAATGCCAACCGGTAAGCAACTATACCTACCCTCTCGAGTACCTCGAAGAGCTCGATATATCTCGGCGACAACTTTCCGCGCTTGCCGAACCTGACCACTCCTTTCTTAGGCATCACCTTCAAGAAGACATGATCTCCCACCTCAAACTCTAGAAGTCGCCCCCGTTTGTCGACATAGCTCTTCTGTTGACTCTGAGTCGTGAGAAGATGCTTCCGTATCAATTCCACCTTCTCAGAGGTGTCCCTAACCAAATTCGGACCCATGGAGAGTCTCTCTCCCACCTCCGTCCAACAAACCAGAGATCGACAAGGCCTCCCATATAGTGCCTCATAGGGTGTCATTT